TAGAGATCAAGTGTGAATACAGGGAAGACAGGCCAAGATGCATGACGAGTAACCAAGAAGGTGGGAGGCCGTGAGAATCTCTCTAGAGTAACGGGAAGTGGGAGGCCATTGTTCTATTACCGACTGAGGCTGCCCCCGGAGTTCAGCCTAAACACGCGTATAAACAGTTTTGCCTTGTGTGCCATATTCTTAATGCATCTGGCTGATTTGCTTTTTCAAATCTATTTGGACTGTTTCTTGCAGGATCTAATAGTTTTATCTTATTGTGGCCTTGGGTTTTGTACCCCCATTTTCAAGCTGACAAATTATATTATTCATTTCCCTTTTTTTGTTCTTATGTGCCATTCAAGTTTCCTCTGACTTCTGGCACCCCTGTGAATGAGCACCTTTCAGATCTGATCCCTCGCAGCTTGACTCAGTACTGGCAAAGTCGAGGCTCAATCCGTTTATGGGCTCAGTTCATCTCATGGTTGGTCCTCTTCTTCTCCCTTCAGTTTTTTGCTAACATGACTGGCTTCACTAATGATTCTCGGCTGTTCATGTTGTGTGCAAAGTACAATATTTATATTGTAAGTAAATAAATATTAACACTATTTATTAACAATATAAACAATATAAATAAATATTTACAATATACTGAACCTTATATAAAGTTCACTTTAGATGCCAGGAAGCACTTCCTGACAGTTAGAGCCCTGAGGGCGTGGAATGGGCTTCAACAGGAGGTGGTGGAGGCCCCGTCGGTGAGGGTGTCCAAGGCTAGGCTGGGCACGCGCATGGTGAGCATGTCATGAGCGGAGCTGACTGGAGTCGGGGGTCAGACTAGATGGCCCAGGAGGACCCTTCTGACTCACTGTTTCTATATCCCATTTTTTTCCTTTCAAAGAACTCAGGGTGGCTTACATAATTCTAGGTGGGCCTCAGAAGGGTTAGGGTTAGGGGCCATCTTTGGCGGGTGCCGATGAAGGAAACCCTCACAGGCAGAAATCGTGCAGTGGGGATACTGAGGCAGGGCAAGGCACGTCCCCAGTCCTGAGGCGTGCAGACCACGCGTCCTCAAACGCAGGCCCACCTGGTTTGGCCGACAGGCCATGCCCTTTTAACTGGCCGGGCGCGCGCACGGCTCGCTCATGAGGTCACTTCGAAAACGCTTGGAAAAAGCGAGCTCCTCGTGAGCAAGCCGGCACCGCCTTGGCGGCCCGCGGCCACCGCCGGCGCCTGTCAACCGGTTCAAACAGTCCGAGGCCCCCGCTGTAGCCCGCAGAAGCGCCTCGGCCCGGGCCCGGAGGCGACAGGCAGCCAGTGCAGGTGCCCGAGCGAGGCTTCCGAGCTGGCGCCTTCGCGGCCGTTGCCAGTCTGCGAAAGGTGCACCTGGCGAACGGCTTCGGGGCGGCCCCAGAGCGCATGGCAGCAACCCAGCAGGGAGATCGCCAGCGCGCAGGCTCGGCGGCCGGTCCCGCCTCGCGGAGCGCTGTCCCGCTGCTCGGGACCATCGCGCGCGCCCGCCGCCTCGCTGGGCCGCTCCGCGGAAGACCGAGAGCTTCGCGCTCCGTCGCCGCCTCCGCCGGAAGCGCACAGCGGCCCTGCCCTGCCCGGCCCTCGCCGGGGCCTGCCCGGAGCCGCAGCGGGCCTGGGTCGGCCAGGCAAGCCGCTCTCACCGCGCGCCCTCGGGCAGCCCCGACGCGGGGCCGCGCACGCGGGGGCGCGCCTGCGGAGAGCGGCGCCTGCACTCCGCGGAGCGGGACTCCCGCGCGGGCCGGCCTGGCGAGCCCCGCCCCCCGCGCGCAGCAGCCTCGTCAGCCGTGGGCGGGGCGCTCGTTGCTAAGCGACGCCGCACGCGGCAGGAGAAAGCGGGCGAGGAAGGGCCGCTCCCTTTTAGGACGGGCGGCGCCCCGCCCCTCGCGGACAGGTGCCCCGGCGCCCCGCCCCCTCCCGCTCCGGCCCTGGGGCGACCCGGCTGCTGCCCCGGTCGCCTTTCCCGGGCGAGCCGGCCGATCCCGGATGGTCGCCGCGTCCCCCGCCGGCCGCCCGCCCGGGGCTGTGCTCCGCGCGGGCTCAGAGACCGGCGCGGCTGGTGCTGGCGGCGCGGCTGGCCGCAGCCACGGCTCTGCCTGCGGACGCGGCCCCCTGGAGAGGCGGCGTCGGCCCGGCTGCTGCGCGGGAGCACATGCCGCCCCCGCCCGGCCGGGCAGCCCTTCTGCCACCGGCGCGCAACGCCTTCTCGCCTTCAGGATCGCCGCGGCCGCGGAGCGTGGGGCCGCGCAGCCGCCGCCTCCCCGCAGCCCCTGCCGGGGAGCTCCGAGCAGCCGTGGCCGGGTTCTCCCCGCCGTTGGCGAGCCCGCGGCCGGAGGCTCGCCGGGGAGTCGGCTGGCTGCCCGCCCGCCGAGCGCACGGGTCCCGCGCCCCTCCGGCCGGCGCCGGGCGCGTCCCGCTGCGGGGCGGTGGGGGGCTCGCTCGGCCGCGGCTTCCCGCAGGCGAGCAGCCCTCCGCGGCGGTCTCTGGCCCCCAGGCCCGGCTGGTAGGAGGGGCCAGGCCCGCCTTCGGGCCTCGGTCCCCGGACGGCTTGCACGTGTGTGCCGTGGATGCCTGCGCGGCCTTGAAGTCCGGCATTCCGGGGACACGTGTCTCGGGGACACGCGTCTCTGTCCATTCCCGCCACCACCGGCAGCAGAGGCCGAGGGGCGCCGCGGGCGTGCAGGGGGCTCACGCTGGGGAGGATACCGGAGGGGGTGCATGTGAACAGTGGGCCCCAAGGCCGATTACAAACACATGATGAACATGTGAAGGTGTTGAACACTGAAAAAACGGTTTAGCTGTGGTGCCCGCTTTGCTCCTGGTAACAAAACCTCTCTGCATGTTTAATACACCCTTTTATTTTATGGGCCATTTTATTTTCCTGGTATTTTAATTGCTAGAACGATGTTAATGGTTTTAACACCTTATAGTTGGTTATAATCTGCTGTCGTGCCTTTTATATTAACCCTGGATACATTCTGAGTCTGTGAAGCGTTATAATGGCCTGCCTTCGCTAGTTTGCTAGTCAGATTTTATTGTTATATTAATTGCTATTTTAATTGTATTTCAGTTTAATATTTTTAAACTTTGTAACCCACCCAGGGAGCCTTATGGATAAAGGGGTGGGAGAAGAAGCAAATAAATACATAAAAGTAATGAAATCATTATTGGTGGAGCGCACACATTCTGGAGTGAATCAGCCATTCTCTGGATTATCAAATTTACCCACTTAATTGGCAATATTGCTAAGTCAGCTGTGGAGCGGCAGAGTCTTGATGACAGGGAGAGCTCGTCCCCATCCATTTTGTTCTCCTCCTCCTCTTAGGAGAATGAGTGCCAAAAAGACAGCAGGAAGGACCCCGCTTCGGAAGGGGGGAAAGCCGGCACCTCAAGCGAAGCCACTGGGAACAGCGTCTGGGAAGCCAGGTAGAGTATCCGCGGCAGAGAAGCAGGGAATAGGAATCAATGAACTTCTCATGATAGCGAGTGGTAAGCAGGAGCATTCCTCAGGCATCTTTATTGGGACCGGGGCTTCTGAACTTGTCCATAAATGGCCTAGGGGTAGGAGTGGGTGGCGAGGTGGCCACACCAAATTATTCAGAGTCATAAAACAAGAGGGATTGTGAAGAGTTTGCTTTTTCATGTGTTACGTTTCCACGCTGCTCAACTTCTGAAGTGCTTTACGTAGTTTGCAGCAATTTAAAGGAGTATAGTATAAGTATTTGAAGGCTTAAAACTTCTATACAATAGGAGCCAGACTGAGACGTGGCAGCAGTACAAGAAGTAAAAGTATAGTATAGGATTTAAAGCAGAGTGAAACTAAAATTCCTGGGAAAATAAGGTCTTCACCCGACACTGTCAAGAATGCATTGTAGACAAGTCTCATTCCATGGCTGGGATGCTGTTTTAGAAGCCACCCACTGGATTTCCTTTCTCAGGGGCTCCTGCAGAAAGACCAGTGAGAATGATTATAGAATGCAGGCAGGTGTATTTGGAAGGAGAGGATCTTTCCGGTAGCCTGGTCCCCAGCCTTTCAGAGCTCTGGATGTTAATATCAGCACTTTGAATTGGCTTGAGGGCATGGACAGGCAACTAGTGCTGATAGTAATGTAATAGGATCGTGCTGGCGCAGGAGTAATATGTAATAGTATGTAATATGATCGTGCTGGCACAGGAGTAAACTCACTGCCCTGTTTTGGACTAGCTGAAGGTTCCAGCTGAAGGTTCCAGTTTTTAAAGGCAGCCACACATATTGCACGCCTCTTCAAAATGGATCTCAAAATCATGAATCAAGGCACCAGGCCCTGCTGGGTGCACCTGAGGGTATGCCAGGAATTGGCAGGGATACCCTCACGTCTGTTGGCCTTCATTTTGAGGCCTTGTGGAAAACAGGAGATGTTCCGGAGGACTGGAGGGTAACGCCAGTGGTTCCAATCTTTAAAAAAGGGTAGCAGAGGGGACCTGGGAAATTATAGGCCAATTAGCCTTACATGCATTCTGGGAAAAACAGTGGAAAGCCTCATAATAGGAAAAGCTCTGGAAATCCTAGATAGGGATGGGAGGTTGGCAGCCACACAGCACGGATTCCATAAGAGCAGATCCTGCCGGACGAGCCTGGTGGGAGTCTATGATAAAGTCTCGAGGTGGCTAGATGAAGGGGGCGTGCTGGATGTGGTTTACCTGGATTTCAGCAAGGCCTTTGACAAACTGCTGCAGGATATCCTGCCTGAGAAATTGTTGAGCTTTGAGATAGATCAGTGCATTGGCCAATGGATTGGGGCATGGCCAGCGGAGCCCCCCAGGCCTCAGTTCTGGGACCGATTCTGTTCAACTTTTTTATCAATGACCTGGAGGAGGGAATAGTCAGTCCTCTGACTAAATTTACAGACGATACCACAGTGGCCTCGGAGGCCACAACTGGGGAGCAGGTGACCCAGATCCAGAGGGATGTGGACAGGCTGTGGGAGTGGGCAGGGGACAGCGGGATGGCGCTCAAGACAGATGAGGGCAAAGTCTTGCACTTGGGACCGAGGAATGGGTGTCACAGTTCCAGGATGGGGGGCGGGTGGCTGGAGAGCAGCGCTTGTGAAAGGGATCTTGAGGTGGGAAGGAGCACTTGCCCCTTCCCAGAGCCCCCTTGCCCCCTCCCCTGCAATCTTTACCCTTTCCGACTAAGCACCATTTTGCTAGATCCTTGCTAGCGTGGCGGTGGGGGCTTTTTTGCTCCCTCACCATCTCTGTTCTACCTTCTCTGGACTTTGAGCAGGTAGTTAAATGACTTCTTCTGCCAGGATTGCGTCAAGGATGGGAAGGATGGGCTAATCCATGGGTCCTCAAACTACAGCCCGCTGGCCAGATCCGGCCCACTGTGCCCCTTTAACCGGCCTGCCCCAGAGGTTTTGTACTCACCGCGCACGCATGCCTGACTTGCTCGCAGGGAGATCGTTTTAAACTTGCTCAGAGAAAACGATCTCCGCACGAGCGAGCCGCTACCTCGCCCCGCAGGCCCCCCCCCCGCTCGCCGCGTGCCTCTGCCTCCCTGCGCACATGTGCGGGCACCCCCCCCCTTCCCCGACCCGTCCCCCCGGCTGGTGCCGCCTTGGTGGCCCGTGCCCACTTCCAGCACCTTTCGACTGGCCCCCCTTGAAAAAGTTTGAGGACCCCGGTCTAGTGCCTGTGGGGTTTGCCCCACTTCCTGCTCAGTTGCCCACCCAGCTCTGTACGGTATCTTGACCTTTAAAATATGTTAATAGATGGCAGAACAACATGGAGCAGGAAAGGTTGGTTTGGTATTTTGGTATTGTTTTCTCAATTTTGACTCTCTCCCCACACTGCTGTCAGGCCACCAGATTGATGGAAAAGATGCAGCTGCAACAGGCAGTGCCTCCCAGTCCCAGGAAGAGCCCCCCAGCAGCCGTGCTAGAGGTAGGCATCCGAAGATCACCTGAGACCTTTGCTTGTGGGGAGATCGCATGTCTCCAGCCCTAAACTGCTTTGGAGCCCTGGCACAGGTGCAGGAATCCAGTGGCTAATCCTAACTCTCTTGAGATTTCCGGTTTGTGTGATAACAGTGTGATGCTGCCCCCCGCCCCCCGTATACCCTCCCCTCTTGTCTTTTCTGTAGAGACCTCAGCTTCACCAGGAGGACCTGCATCCCATTCTGTCCCCGGCACACGCCTCTTCCCCAGAGGAACTAAACCATCACACGGCTCTCTCTCTCTGTCCTCAGAGCTGACTCCTGAAGCAAGAGCTGCGCTCACTTTGCAGTGTGCCTTCCGCCGCATCTTGGCACTTCGGGAGAGAACTAGGCGATTGAAGGAACGGCAAGAATACAGCGAATTAATGGAACGCCTCCAGAGAGAGGTGAGCTACATGGCTTTGAAGAGAGAAGCTACGTCTTCTCCAGCATGAGGGAAAGTTTGAAGCACTTCATCTTTCCTGCAGTGGTTTCTGCCAATGCTTTATTATGAAAACATTGTGGGCAAAGCAGAAACTACCGTCCAGGTCCTGTTGGTGCTTTTGTGAAAATGGCACTGCGGCACCTCGGTGGTTGGGAGCTCTGGGGGATCCGTTCGTGATCTCCCACCTTTGCTTCCTTCTGATGTTCTGCCACGGCCCCTGCCTCACCTGCTTTTGCCCCTCATTTTGTGCTCAGCCTGTTGCTCACTGCGGAGGCATTGTCGGCTGTTTCTCTTGCAGGCCTTCATTGCACTGGCGAAGAGGGAGCAGGAGGAAGCTGAGCGGGAGCGAAAGAAAGAGGAGGAAGAAAAGAAGAAGCAGCGCGAGGAGCAGCAGAGAAAGAAGCGCATGCTGGAGGCCGCCTTTGAGGGCGATGTGGAAGAGATGAAGGCAGTTTTGAAAGAGGTAGGCAAGGCCACAGAGGCCCTCTGGTGCTTTCCAGATGTGGGGAGGAAGATACAGAAATTATTCTAAGGTAATACCAGAGGCTCCTAGCACCATTGTTCAGTCTTCCCAAGATCTCTTCTTGCCCTTGGCTGGGTTTGGGGCCTGTCAGCATCACCTGGGTGCTGTGAATCTCGAGGGACACAGCTTGAATTGATTATTCCATGTCCTATAACAGTGAGGGCAAGCCTTTTAGAGACCTGGTGCCGAAACCGCAACCCAAAGCCACTTATTTATCTCAAAGTGCTCAAAACCTGAAAACGGAGGTTTTAGTTTAGAAAAAACAACTCAAAGCCAGTGCAAGCAAATATATGTCTCCTTGGCAGTGCACTGGCCGGCCATACAAAAGTTCAGACCCAGGAAGCTCCAGCTATTAGAAATGTCATGAATGAATGAATGAATGACTGAATGAATGAATACTGGGGGTGACAGAAGGGAATGTGCGGTCAGTTCGAGGCGGGCAAACTGCTTGTGGCATGGAGCCGGGCAGATGCTGTTCCAGTGGATGCTCCAGCTGGCTTCTCGGCAGCAGCGCAGAGCAGCCGCCGCCTCTGCCCCGCCGTGTCACGCAGACGGGCCACGCCTTTTCTGCTCTGCACACCCGCCCCGACACACAGGCTTGCTTTTTCAAGGTGGCAGATCTGGACACGAGGAGTGGGGTCGGAACAGACGAGCAGGGGAAGGCTGTGCGGCTCCGGCATCACCTCGACACGGTGGACTGCACAGATGCCAACGGCAACACGCCTCTCTCCGAGGCGTCTGGTGGGGGCCACCCCGAAGCCATCCGGATGCTAATAGAAAACGGAGCCAATCTAAACAGCCGGGTGAGGCCTGCACCATGGAGAAATGCGGAAGCTCTCTTCAGTTACTACTATTTGTTTTACTATTATGGTTGGGATTAATTTCGTTCTATACCACCCATTAGTCAAAGCAGTCTGGGCAATTTAACATAAGTGCAATAGAAAATTGTTACAATCAAATAGACTATAATATTCTAATATACAACATTTAAAACAAATTTTAATTTAAAGAACCAGACCAGTTGGAACAATTGACATACCTGTCACGTGCCATGAGATGCCTGAGAATAGAGGCAATCTTGACCTGATTCTGAAAAGGTCTGAGGGCCTTCGTGCCCGGGGGGGGCGGGGGGGCGGGGGTCCTACTTGTGGCCTCTTTCCAGGAGCCGCTTCGAGGTGGTAGTTGGAGAAGGCACCAGAGACTGACCATAGTGCCCGAGGGCTCTGTGCCTGTAGGAGCTGCTTCAGCCCAACTGCAGGGCAGGGCCATGGCTGTGCTCTGGTGCCAGAGACACACAGAGGGCCCTGCTGGATGAGACCGAGGGTCCATCTAGGTCGGGGCTCTGCACACTCAGTGGCCAGCCGGCTGCCCCAGGATCCCTCAGGCAGGAGGGGTGCCAGACCCCCCTGCCCAAGCTCCTCGGCAGCAGGTGTATGTGGGCAGGCCGCCTGTGGCAAAGGAGGCGGCACACAGCCAGCACGGCTAGTAGCCACGGACAGCTCCCTCCCTCAGGAACCTGCCCAGTCCCTATTTTGAAGCCACCCAGCGTGGCAGGCATCACCGCTTCCTGGGGCAGAGAATTCCAGAGTTTAACTAGACGCTGTGTGTAGAAGCACTTCCTTTTATCTGTCCTAAACTTCCCAATAGCTTCATGGGGTGACCCTGGGTTTGAGTGTTATGGGAAGGAGAAAAATTCTCTGTCTCCGCTTTCTCCGCACCATGCAGTATTTTAAGTACCTCTGTCACGTCTCGCCTTACTTGACATTTTTTTAAGATGAACAGTACCACTTGTTCTAGCTGCTCCTCATACGGGAGCTGCTTCAGCCCCATGATAATTTTTGTTCCCCTTTTCTACACTTTTTCCAACCCGGTAATGTCCTTTTTCAGGTAAGGTGACCAGAACTGAACACGATATTCTAAATGTGGTCATAACAACGATTTGTATAAGGGGAGTAAGATCTTAGTAGTTCTATTTTCTGTTCTGCTCCTAATTATGCCTGGCATGGCGTTTGCCTTTTTCACAGCAGCTGCGCACTGGGAAAGCATTTTCACCACGTCGTCTGCCTCTCCCCAAAAATCCCTTTCTCATGCAGTCACTGCTGGCTGAGATCCTGTCAGTGCAGACTTGAAGTTGGGCGTCCACGGGAGGTCGTTGAGGCCCCATCGGTGCGGGTGTTCAAGGACAGGCTGGACGTCCATGTGGTGGGCATGTCGTGAGCGGAGCCGGCTGGTGCCGGAGGTCAGACTAGATGGCCCGGGAGGCCCCTTCTGACTCGCTCTGTTTCTATGTTTCTATGAAGTTCGGGTGTTTAGAGCAGCCTTCCTTGGGAATTGTGGAATTTGGTTGGGGTGCATAGCCAGCAGGTCTTCAGCGGTTCTGCATTGCCGGACAGACGTATTTGTAAAATTGCATTGTGCTGCATCATTGTAGTTCTCACTAATAGCATCGGCATAAAATGATTGCTGTGGGATTTTTCTGCAGAACTATCAGAAAGAGAGCTAAACACAGAAGTAAAAAATTTAGGTAGAACCTTCTTTTCGAACATGGCAACCTGGCCATCCATTAAAGGGGTCCCTTACTTACTTACTTACTTACTTTCCGTTGCTCCTTTTGTCCTGCAAGGCATCCAAGGTGGTTTATATCATCTTCCTGCACATCTCCTTTTCATCCTCACAACTCAGTCAGGTGGGCTCTGGTGGTAGTCGGTGACTGGTCCAAAGCCACTCAGGTGACTTCATGGCTGAGTAGAACCCAGATCTCCTAAATCTGAGTCTGACGTCATGGCTCTCCATCATCTCCTGCCCCTTACCTGCCTCTTTTATAAGCTAGAAAGAATCAAGCTTCAGGGAGCTGTTAATTCTCCTTGATCATGGTGAGTCATTAATGATCAGGGAGCAAGGAGGTGGCCACGTTTGCTCACGGCACCAGTTTATCTTCAGAGATTTAACAGCCCTCCAGAAGGTACATCAAACAGCTGGAAGAGAGATTGGAAGGACAAATGTCGGTCAGTGTAAGAAAGCATAAACCGTAAAGTAATAAAGAGAGCTAACTGCGCATATATGCTGGTGGGATCTGAGCTGGCTGTGGCTGCCGCAAACAAATCTTGCGTTTGTGAAAGCACCATTCAGTGCGCAGCCGCGGTTCAACAGATAACCTTCATGCTGGGGCTCATTCGGCCATCAGCTGAGAAAAGAGGCCGGCTAGTTTCTCAGGTCTTGGCTTTGTTCACCCAACATGTTACAATCTTTGGGATTTAATATCTTTATTAAATCAATTAAAACAAAACCAAACAAAATTCACAACATACACAAAATAGTAAACAATACACATTTAAAATTTTATTAAAAACAATTAAAACTATACAATAACGAGGCAGTGCAAACCTCCGCCAGGGCTTTTGGTTAGATGTTAAATAATTTGCTCTCTCAGGAGACCCCACTCCCCTTCCAGAACTGCAAATCCTGAGAAGATACAGAAGCTTTCCATTTTATTAATACATAGTCAATAAACAACCCTAAATGTCATCAAAATTATACTTAATTATCAGACCCATTTTTACCTTAATATCACAAGTTAACTTGATAACAGCTATATTCCAAACTTCTCTATACCAATCAATAATTATAGTTTATTTTCCAATTCTTTGCCATTGTTAATCTAAGAACTGTTAATAAATTTGTTATTCTTTAATATTCCATTCCCATTGTTCTCTATCAAATATTGACAAATACTGCACTTCAGAATTTACTTCGATATTTAAATTCAATATTTTGCCCATTTCCTTAAAAACAACTTTCCAAAATTTCATTATATACTCCCACCACATATGGAAATATGTACTCACTTCCTGACCACAACTCCAAATATAATAGAATATGTATTAGCCATATAATTCAGTTTTACTGGTGTTAGGTACCATTTCTGTTCTAATTTATAGAACTTTTCTTTATTCTTATTGACACGCACTTTAATATTTTCTTATCCCACATATTTTCCTACTCTTCATTACTAATATTCCTCCTTAAGCCTGTTTTCTATGACACTTTAAGAAGATCATATTGATTCTCCAGTTCTAATGCTATGGATTTTGCTTATTATTCCTCTCATCCACATACTATCTTGCTTTTCCTTTTGTACTACCATTACCTTTGAATTTAGTATAATTGCCACACTTACCATTTTTCTTTAACCGTTCTTTAGTCCATTGTTCTAAGCGAATCACATTAAAACAAGCTAATTTTTCCTCTTCAGATGTCACCTTTTTCTTTTCCTTATTACTAATTTTCTCTAACCAGTTGTTAACGTAATAATTTGCTTATTCTTCAATACCTTCCCCAAACTTACTCTCAGAGTTTCTGAGAATCCTTCCAATCCTGTGATTGGATTCAGTGGCAAGATCAGGGGCGCCCGAGCAGGTCCAGGGGAACGCGCAAGCCCAACAAGCTGCCAGACTGGGCCGGGCGAGCCTTTTGGAGGCCTCCGCTCCCGGGCTCAGCCCTGCCCCGCCAGGCGGGCCGCGTGGAGAGTCGGTCCGCAGGAGCAGCTGCGGGGAGCCGGGGAGGGAGGGAGTCCTCGCCCCTTGCTGCTGCCGCAGCCGGCAGTGGTGGGCGCAGAAAAGGAGAGCAGCAGGCAGGTGTGCCCCTCAGTGTGCCCAGCAGCCCCCGCCCCCCCTCACAGCTGCTCGGGGCCTCCGTGGATGCCTGAGGATGGCGCTGCGTGTGCCGCATGCGTGCGGGGCCACATCCTGGCAGGCACGGGCACTGCGCGGGCCCAGCGGAACGCAGACCCCGGGCCACTGCAAAGGAGGGCAACATCCAGGACACTAAAACTCGGGCACCTCTCAGCAGGGCCGTCTTCACGCATGGGCCGGATGGGCACCTGCCCGTGGGCCCCATACTCATCTGTGTGTGTTAACCCTTGGGAAATGGGGAAACTTCCAGAATGAACAGTCGTTGCAGTTGTCGTAGGGGCCCCAGTGCATGGCTTTGCCCCCCGGGGCCCGTCCTGCTGGCACCTGCCTCTCAGACAGTGTTACCTTAGCTCCCCTCCTCACCATCCCTCTGGGCAGGATCCACAGGGGCTTTGGGGTGCCAGGAAGCTCCACCTGTCCCCAGCAGCCCCTCCGTTTGGCAGCTTACTCTGAGTGGGTAGCAGAAGTTGTTCTAGCTCGCGACATACCTGGCTGGAACTCCGTTCACCTCTTTGAAGCCTTTTCCCCATTCCAAGGGAACGGGACTTCTTTTGCAAAAGAGTAGAAAATGGTCTAGTGCCTTTTCTGTATCAACAAACAGAATCATCAGAAGTATGTTTACTCTGCTATTACCTGTAGATTGTCTTCCTTGAAACAGTCACTTTCATTTTTAAGGGTGCTTTTAACCGGACGCCTCTCTATCGGGCTGCATTCGCAGGACACTTGGCAGCGGTGGAACTGCTTCTCCAGCATGGGGCTGACCCTCGCCTCTATGCTGATGACGGCAACACCCCTGAGCAGGTACTCCTGGGGTTTTCTGAACACCTTCCTTCCCTTCTTCTCCATTTTCGTATTGATTTTTAAAACAGACCTGATAAGAGATGATTTGGTGCCCCTGAACGAGCTGATTCGTTCTGTGTGCGTGCGTGCGTGCGAGACAGGGAGAGGGAGACTCCCCCATGGTCGCCAGGGCTCGCTTTCCTGGTGAGGATTCCTCGCGTTCCTCAGGATTCCTCTTTCTGATCCTCTCTCATGATGGTCTTGGTCATTCTTGGACCTGAAGTCGGTGATGCTGAAAGCGGAAGGGGCTGGCTTGTGCTGAGGCTTCCTGCCTGGAGCACGGTGTCTCAGTGGCCACAGGTGTGCCATCCAGCCATTCCAGTAGCATCAAGGGTTCCTGCAGCTGTGCTAAAAGCCAGGCTCAGGGACTGTGCAGGGACGAGTGCTTCCGGTCACACACCTTTTGGTTCCCCCAAGGTTGCCTCTCTGGACAGCTTGGTGGCTATTCTGAATTCCTGGGATCTCAACCTAACAGACTCCATGCTTCAGAAAATGCAAGCGGAGCAGCAGCGAAGGGCCCAGCAGGAGCAGAAGCAGAAAGCTGCAGAGACACACCGGTGAGTGGTTTTCTGTCCCGCTGTCTGCCTCTGACCCGGCACTTGGGAGTGCAGTTGCACTGCATAGCTCATCTTGCACCCCCATAACCAGCTCACCCGTTATACAAATGTACAAAGAGCACACTGAATGTCTTGTACCAGCTAAAGCCGTTTTGTGGCCGGCTTACCTCCTCCTGGAGCCGCCAGGCTGGTGGCCTGGTCTCCTCCCTGACGCACACAGCTGCTGCAGCCAGAGAGCTGGTGCCTGCAGGAGGTCAGCGTGCTGGCCTTGGGGGCGCCTCTGCGGGCAGTCTGGCTCACGGGAGGCAACAAGCAGGGGGTGCTCCCCTCCCCTCTCTTGCAGCTCCGATCCTCTTCCTCACGCAAGGAGGCTGAGCTTGGAGAGCAAAGGGCACAGATCGCACACGGGATTATGCCCTTTCAGTCTTGTCTGGCTGGTACAAAAACACACACATGGGACCGGTGGATGGCCATCGGTGGTGGGAGGAAGCGGCACTTGTCCTGGCCAAGAATGGGTTACCTCCACTCCTAAAGGAGAAGGCGGGGCAAAAGACAGATGCATACCCTGCCGTGAGAGGAGAACCCTCCTTTAGTCGCAGGACTTGCTGTACTTTAAGTGTCATGTGACTGGTTAAAAAAATCTGTTGCATGAGGACAATTCCAGAGAGATAAAAATGCTCCAGTTGCAACGTAGCAGAAATGCAACTCGCTCAGGAAAGCGAGCTCAAACAGATCAGTGAAAAGGAGGACTCATGTGGCACCACACGGCAGCGATACGCCCGTATAGATAAATGCAAACCAGGCAGACCTGAGCTGAGGGGAGCGTTGCTGGGTCCGTCCCTCACAATGCTTCCCAGCGAGCCCAACTTTTCCATTCTTCACCAGGAATGGGTGGCAGCAATAGGAGGGAGATGTTGAGCAGCAGTGCCCCAGCTGCACGGGGGGCGGGGGGGGGGAGGCTGAAGGTTATGACAGCCCTTGTGGCCCTCCATCCGCGGCCAGAGGATACAGCCGCCAATGCGCATTTACCAATCTGACATTTGCAGATGAAAATGGAAGGCTTTATTTAGTATTTATTTATTGGTCTTATAGATCACACCATAGCCTTATCAAAATATCTAAGCAGTTTACAATCACAACAATAAAAAAAAGAACAGCTAAAACAGCAAAGCTATAAAAGTAATATTAGTATAACACATGTAATGGCTGTGAGTAGTAATCAAAGTGTGGTGAATTTAAATTTTAAAGTTCTATTTTGTAATAAAAATCAATTACTAAAATGTCTGGAAAACAACCATTTTTGCATGGTGCTGAAAAGATTGTAATGAATGCACCTGGTGTACTACTCTAGGGAGGCTCTTCCACAGCGGGGGCACAATCATGAAAGTGCCCCTCTTCTGCTTGCCACCCGCCCCACCTCCTTAGAGGATGGCTGTTTCTGAAGGGCCTCTGAGCCTGACCTAAGGGGGTGGGGTGTACAGCGGGGGAGGCAGTCCTGCAGGTGCCCCGCTCCTTCAGGAACCCTGAGTGACCCGGACAGCTGCTTCATGAATAACTTCAAAGGGACCTGAAATGCTACGCTAGGACAGGTACCCTAACCCTAACCATGTGTCTGATTCTGCTCACGAACATTTATATTCCCAGTACCTCCAATTTAACATGTAATTTGTATTTGTAGGGACCTACAAACACCAGGGTTGTGTTACTCCTTTTTCTTAGAAACATAGAAACAGAGTGAGTCAGAAGGGGCCTCCTGGGCCATCTGGTCTGACCCTCGGCTCCAGCTCCACTCATGACATGCCCACCATGTGCATGTCCAACCTATCCTTGAAAGCCCTCACCGATGGGGCCTCAACCACCTCTCATGGAAGCCCATTCCATGCCCTCGGGGTCCTGACTGTCAGGAAGTATTCCTGGCATCTAAATGGAACCTTGGCTCCCTGAGCTTTGCTCCGTTGGAGCGCGCCCTGCCTTCCTCTGCAGGGGAGAACTGGTCTCTACCCATCTCCATGTGACACCCCCTCACGTACCTGCATGTCACTAACAGGTCTTCTCAGCTCTCTCAGTCTCTCCTCATATGGCTTCCCCTGCAAACCGGCCACCATCCTTGAATCTCTGCACTGCACTGATTCTAACCTGGTTATATCCTTCCTGTAGTGTGGAGCCCAGAACTGAACACAAGACTCCAGTTGCTGGTGCACCAGAGTAGTATAGAGTTAACACCTCTTGGTCTAGAAGCCACACTTCTGGCTATGCCCTTTTGACTGCCGCATCGCACTGCTGGCTCATGTTCAGCCTGCAGGCAACCTGCACCCCGAGGTCCCTTCCACAAGGGCTGCTCTCCAGCCACCTGTCCCCTAACCTGCCTTTATGACACCCATTCCTGTGCCCCAAGTGCAAGACCTGGCACTTGTCCACATGGAACGCCATCTCGCTGTCCCTGGCCCACTTCCATAATGTGTTTGGCTCCTCCTGGTTCTGGAGTACCTGCTCCCCAGTTGTGGCCACCAGCCCCATTTAGCTCAATGTAGCTCAAGTGCATTTGTGCTAATCAACCTGTCGGTCTCCCAGTGTTTCCTCTCCATTGTCTTAACTTGATTTTTGCAAAAACGTTCTGATTTTCAAGTTTTATCGGACCAACAATAGCCTTTGTTTGCTTATCAGTATCATCTTCCAACTGTTCTTTCAGCTGTTTAAAGTCCCAAGTCATCCTTGCATTATCCTCAGTTCTTAAAGACTTGAATCTAAATTAAACTAGTGTCCTGCAACCGCAGGGGGCTGGACCGGATGGCCTTCATGGCCCCTTCCCGCTCTGCTGTTCTATGATTCTATGAAAACGTTTTAAACCTCTCTCCTCTATCTGTGATTTCACCACTCTCTGGCGCTTCCTCCAATTTCTCTTCCCTCACTGCATGCGTTAGCCTAGTAGCTCTCATTAGCCTCCTTTATGATGGTCTTCTTGCGTCTGAGAGAGTACGCCTTTCACTGTGATGGTCTTTGTGGCAGCACCACATGGAAGCCGACCCGCCAGTCTTTGAAAACCAAATTAGCCCAGTTTTACTGTAGTTACACCTTAAGCTTCGTTCCGTCAAATGAACGCCAGCCATGCATGCTTCCTCCAGCAGAGGGAGCTCTCCCACCGAGCCTCCCCGCCCACCTATGCCGTGGCCCCCACAGCCCTCCCCTGCGGCCTGCTGGGCCGGGCTGGTGCCCCAGCTGAGGTGGGGCAGGGCAGGGCAGGGCAGGGCAGGGCAGGGCAGGGGCCAGTGCTTGCCTGCTTCCGTGGTTTTCCTAAGGGAAGGAGAGGGAGGCCGTGCCTTCTCCTTCCCTGGACCGGGGGCGGCAAGTGCGGGGAGCAGCCTGGAGGAGGCCCGGGTGGCTGGTGTGTGGGCATGAGCAGTGCGGTCCTGCGGAGGAAGCGCCACTGACTCCTGCCGTTCCCCACAGGATGGCGGAGGAGGTGGAGCGGCTGGCCAAGGAGTACGAGAGGAGCAGCACGGAGGTGGAAGCCCAGCAGCAGCGCAGGCCTCCGGGGCCGGGGGCGGGCCGGGGCGGGAGAGGGCAGGGCAGGGCAGGGCGGCACCCTGCCCCGAGGCGGCTCTCCTGTCCTCCGCTCGGCCTGCTGCCGCTGCACCTGCAGCCCTGCGGCCTGGCACCCTCCCCCCCACTCCGTGGCACGGGATGCCGCTTCCCTGCGCGTCTCGCCCAGCGCCATCCTCCCTGCGGGGCGGGCACGCGTGCGGCGGTGCCGGAGCAGCCAGAGCCTCATGCCCGCGGCACACGGCTAGCTACAGGCTGGGCCGCTCGTCTTGACAGCTGCAGCAGGCCTACAGCGAGCTGAACAGGCGCATAACGGAGCACGACAAATGCCAGCGGAAGCAGACGGGCCACGCGGAGGTCTCGCTGCACGTGAGTGCCGGCCCAGCCGCTTGGGCGCGGGCGCTTCCGCAGACGCCTGGCCTTGGGGCGCTGCCGTGCCCTCACGCACGGCTCGTGGGCTCAGCCTGCTCTCCTGCGGCCATCTTGGGCGTGCGGCGCCCTCCGTGGCTTCGGGGGTATGATCAATGTGCACATTGGCGGGGCAGGGCTGTCGCCCCAGAAACCTTTCTTGGACCCACCAGGTTGCCCTGGCCCCTCACGCTTCTGCGTGCAGGTTTTTTTTGGTCAGAAGGGGCTTCCCGGGCCATCTAGTCTGACCCCCGGCTCCAGCCAGCTTTGCTCGCGACATGCCCACCATGCGCATGTCTAGCCTTTCTTTGAGCACCCTCACTGATGGGCGCTTAATTGGCACATTCTCTTACAGGCACCAGGACGGCCCTGAAATAGATTTCTGTTGGTGCTGGAAATTGGATTTGGAGGAGTCGTTCAGTGCCCTGGGTCTCAGAACCAACTCCCGCCTTGAACTCAGTCTTTTTGGCAGCTTGCTTCTCCTTTGTCATGCTCCCAGGTTTAAAGTCTCTCTCAGTGTGGCAAAAACGTTGCGAGGTCTGCTCAAGGTGCTGCCGTCACCCACCCCCAGCAGCCCTCACCCCGGAGGCGCTGCTGCCATCCCCGGCCCTTCTTGGCTCCCTCGGCAAGAGGCAGGGACTGCTCTTCAGAGGCTGGCGGCAGCAAGTTCCAGCTTTGCACAGGCGTCTGTGGTTTTGCAGGGATGCTCTTCCCAGAAGTCCATCTGGAGCCACACGTTCCTGTGAAAGGCGGAATAAGATGGCACGGGCGACAGTGTTCACAGGAGGCTGGTTCAGGAACTGCCCTCAGTAGCACAGTGGTACCTCGGCTCACGAATGCCCACATCGGGTCGCGAACAAAAATTTCATGAAAATTTTGACTTGGTTCGCGAACTCCACATTGGGTGGCAACCAAGATCACTGCCATCTCCCCCTCCTCCCCGAGTTGGGAGGTGGCCATGATTGCAGTCGTGTTCGTGCAGAGAAGACATGCGTAATCACGGGCGCGATCTCGTCCATCTGCCCCCCAACCAGCACAATCGCAGCCCTCTCCCCACCCCTCCAAGTGGGGAGACGGCTGCGATGGTGCTGGGGGCGGGGGGGGGGAGATGGCTGAGATCGCGCCCGTCTCTCCCTCCCCCAGTGCACCCCATTCCTGCCCATCTCTCCTCCTCCCCCAGCTCGCTGGGCTGACGACTGTGTGCAGGAATGACGGGCACGATCTTGGTCGTGCCGGGGAGCGGTGGGGAGATGACCACGATCTTTGTTCTTCTTTGTCACATTGCTTCACATTTTTCTGATTAAAAAAAATGGTTGCAGAACGGATTAACCTTATTTACATTGAACCTTATGGGGGAATTTAACTTGACTCATGGCCAATTTGGGTCACGACCAGAGTCCTGGAGCGGATTGAATTCGTGAGCCGAGGCACCACTGCAGTCAGGTCCTGGGCAGCAGCTTGCAGTTTGAGGCGTCCCCGGGCCAGTTCTCACGTGGCTGAACATGCCCAAACCCGCCCCCCGTCCCCACTCCTTTCTCCTGACTGGGCTGCTGCCCTGCACTCGTTGCGCACGGAGGCCTCGTGGCGCTCCGGCAAGAGAGCAAACACTGCGCAGGCATTGCAGGCCACCAACGCTTCTCGGTCCGTGCTTTCGCTGCCTGTCTGATTCTGCCTTGCTGGCTGTAGTGTAACAATCGGTGCTTTCACCTGTCCTTCCTGGAGGTTAACAGCACTGTCCTACCAGTAAATGAGAGAGTTTTACAAGGAAGAAGACAAAGTGCGTGGGGGGGGGGGTGCTTTACAGAACTCTTTTCTAGTTCTTTCATCGCTGTTCTTCCGGACAGCCAGGACCCCGAGGGTACGGAATGGGCTTCCACGGAAGGTGGTTGCAGCCCCATCGGTGAGGGTGTTCAAGGACAGGCTGGACATGGACGTGGTAGGCATGTCGTGAGTGGTGCCGGCTGGAGCCAGGGGTCAGACTAGATGGCCTGGGAGGTCACCTCCTGACTTGCTCTGTTTCTATGTTTCTAAGTCTCCGTCTTTTTTGGATTTCTTTTGAAGTGAAGGATTTAAATTACAGTACAAGATTTGAAGCAGACTGAGGCTAACATTCCTGGGAAAATAGGGCCTTCAGAGTCCCAGACAGGCCCCTCTGAGAAGGGCATTCTGTAGCTGGGATGCCACGGCAGAGAAGGCCCTCTTCTCAGCAGCCCCCGCTTGACTCCCACTGCCAGGGCCCCCTCAAAAGGGCCGTTCAGAATGGCCTTCGGGCCTGAGCAGGTCCGAGGTGAGATGCCAGGATTCATCGCAAAAGAGCAGGCCGGAGGAGGGAGGGGGGCCAGGATCCCTGGGCGACTAGCTGCTCTGCAAACGGAGTCTCCATGCAGGCTTGCTCCGAGCACAGCAGGTGCTGGGACCCTGAAACGCTTTTGGACATGTGTTGGATGTGCGCGAGTCGTGAGTTGTGGGCGCCCGTGCATGCATGAAAGGGTGCTGGTGCACTTGTGCAGGCACACCCCCCTGCAGCCCCCACCCCCCGTCGGGCGCTTGGTGCAGTTCTCGGGGCTGCAGGCTGTGCGACCCTGTTGGAGGCCGTGCTGTGCCCAGCTAGCGGGGCCAAAGCGAGACCTGCCGATGGGAGACGGTGGCTCGGTAGCCAGGCCTGCTTGTGCGCTGCGGAAGGTGTCACTGCCTGCTCAGCCCGGGCGGGGACGGCGGGGAGCAGCTGACTCGGGCAGCTGAGCACGATGCGCGTGAGGCCGGGGCGGCCAGAAAAAGCGGGGCTCCCCCCACTGTGTTCCCCGTGACAGGCAATAGCAGACGCGGAAGAACTGGTGGAGAGATTGCGGGCAGCAGCTCTGGAGGCCGAGGAAAAGCTCTCCTTGGCACGACTTAAACTGCGGGAACAGATTCAGGAAGGTCAGCAAATGTTTCTTGCACTTTCAATTAGGTTTTAAGTTTATATGATAACTTTTTAATGTTTGTATTTTTATACGACATTTGTATGTGTTGTAAATGCCCAGAGAGCTCTGGAGATTGGGAAGGATAGAACTTGATTCATTCATTGATTAAATGAATATGTTGGTTTCCATCTCTGTGAGGGAAAATCTATAGAATAATCTATAGATGTAAGGAAGCACAAGGCTCATTAAAGTGCATGAAGCACAAATCATACAAAACTAGAGTTGGAAGGGACCAGAAGGGCCTTGGGTCCAGCACCCCCCACCCCCCCTACCCCCGGTTACAGAATCCTAAATTCCACCATCCCATGTAGATGGCTGTCCAGGTGCTTTTTGGATGCCTCTAGCAAGGGAGAGCCCTCAACTTCCCCAGGTAAAAGGTTCCGTTCTCGTACTGCTCCGCTGGTCAGGAAATTATTCCGGGTGTCTAGTCCAAATCTGGTTTCTTTCAGCATAAGTCTGTTATTCCATGTCCTGCGGTCTGGAATGAATGAGAAGAGCACTGGGTAGCCTCCAAAACGGAGTGTGGCAACACAGTGGCCATAACC